TCCGGTGTCAGGAATACACCTTGACGTCATTGACACGTCTAGAACAAATTCTTCAGAACAAAGAAGGGCGTGTGACTATAAATAAAAGGGGAGACCCGATAGACCAGTACCAGCTTTATAATTGAATAAGAAGCACGTGTCTCCTTATTTGCGGGTTTTTTTTTATATATGTTTTAATACACGTTTAGACTGGTATTTGTAACAAAAAAGTACGTTGTCAAAAATAAAAGTTACTCAGGTTAATGTTTTTAAAGATCTTCGGACTTTAAAACAATATTCTCACGGTTCCTATAAAGTGAGCCACCCAGCTAGGAAGAATGGCTTATTCGAGCTTTTTTTTTTTTTTTTGTAAGTGTTTTACGGCGCTCGCAACTGCATAATGTCATATGGGCGCGCGGGACACACCTAATACTTTAAGTTGGTAGGATATTTTTGAATTTTGCCCGGGTGGCGGCCGAAGTCTACTCTTATCGATTTTAGACCACCGAGGGATCTTTAACGTGCGCAACTTGCACACGGGCCCTCCGAGATTTTTCGCCCTTGTCCGGGAAGGCTAGGTGCAGATCTTTCTTACAAGAAGATCAGGTCTGAGGCAGAAAGACAGCTGTAAGAAGGAGTCGAGGAGTAGCAGTAGAAAGGCTGCAGAAATAGTCAGGAGCCTAGAGGAGGGGGCAAAGGAGGTGAGGGGGTGGGGGCAGAAAGAGGAGACGAAACCAGACGACAGAATATTGCTAGAGAGCAGGAAAGGAGGTGAAAGGAGACAATTTTAGAGAAGAAACTGTTTCGGTCGCTACCCGGATTCGAACCCGGGACCTTTGAATAAGAGGCCAACACCTTAACCTCTAGGCCACGAGAGCCCCCTATTCGAGCTACAAACAATAAATGGGGTCTGTTTCAATTAATAGTAATATTATACAGATGTGTCTTTGAGCGTTTGTTGAAAGGAGGGAACAGAATAGAATTCTTTATCAAAAACACAAATGGAAGAAAACGAAATAAAAACGATTTTCTTTCTCTCTCCACCCTTATCCCCAAATCCTCTTTACAGTGTACATGTAGGCCTACGTGAACAGAGAAAAGTCAGTAATTATTCCAAGCATTCCGTAACAGTTCACCAAAGCAACAAATTCGAAACCAAAACAAAGCTGCTTCGAATTCTTGCTTCGCTGCACCATCGATAGACGACAACAAAGAGGCCATTTTGTCTCAACGTGAACCGGTGTCTTAGTAGACTTATAGACAGCTTTGTGGCACAGACCCTGTACGCCCTCTCGCATTCGTCACGGGTCCTTTAAGAGCAGCCCAAGCGTGTGATTGAGTTGATTACAAACAAGCCATAACACATACAGCAAACACCATATACGCTCTTCTTTGTCCGGCAGTCTGGCACGTTTTCTGTTTTGCTTTTGATTGGGGGGTTTTTTCTTGTTTTTGTTTGGGCTTTCTTTGTTTTTATTTTTTGCCTACATTCCTTTCCTACCTTCCCCCCACACATCCTTTGCCCGCCCACCTCCCCCCTCCCCTTTTTGCGTT